GAGAGAGAGAGAGAGAGAGAGAGAGAGAGAACAATTGGTTGATATAAAAATAAATATTAAATATAATTTATTTGAATCTTAGGTGTAATATATAGTGGACGGGAAAAGGAAGAGGCGGCTATCGATAACATTGGCGCGCGTTATGAGAGATACGGCAATGGAGTCGAAGCACCGAAAAAGTTGGAAATCATTAAAGAGAAGTGCAATGAATTGGGTTTTACTAATGGCACGGGTAGACTGTGAATACTCAAGTGGTTGTTGTTAATTATCAAATGTGTTATACCGTATAATTTATTGGTAATTTTTTTAAACAAATTTAAAAGTAACACCTCTTAAATCAACCCTTAATTAATTTATAAATGAATTATCATAAATTAATATAGTAGATTTTGATAAATTTAATCCGTGTCATATAGTATCTATCACAGTTCAACATTTTAAATCTAGAAGCTATATTTAATTATAGTTTGATTAATTTTCATACTAAAACGAATTAGATCTAATTGTAAGTAATTTTTATTATAATTTAAAATGCCCAAGGACTTAAGTACAATATTGTACTGTTCGATTAGCACTAATGAAATATAATAAAAGGCATCTTATGATATATAAAGTATACCATATATCATTCTATCAGCGTTTCCCCCAAAGTGTTTAATGATAACATACAACGGGTTCTTTAAACTAGTGCTGTAATAAATAATATTATGATAAATTGCTATTTAATTATATATTGCAGTTTCTGGGATATAGTAACTGCCTTGAAATGGGTAGGTTACCTTAAACTAAAAGTCCGGGAAGTGATTCTGGAAAGTCCCAACATTCAATTCTATGAGAAAATGAACCTGTTCTGCACACTGCCCGATGACAAAATGCTAAAATACACGCCGATTATAAACGCTAAGCTGACCGACACTAAGAAACTACGCGACCGTTTCCTTGGTTACCTAGAAGATGCTACGAAACAGTCGAGAATTAAGATGGGCGAAATAGTATGGTATGGATTTGTTATCGATCTTTATATATAAAATAATATTTAATTAAGATAATACATAAAATAGTAAATTATAGGTTTGTACACCATATAGGTTATGAGGGTGTTTATTGTCTCTTTTGGGTACTACTGAAAAACTGTACTAAAGTTAAATGACAATTATGAGGGAGGGAGAGAGAGGACCATGATGCTTAAAATTATTATACCCCATAACTAACTAGTTGATGGTCTAGTAACTAGACTCTAGTTTATGTTAGAATTCAATATTAATAAATAAAAATGTTCATAATATGCTTATTTATACCAATAAAACAATTACAGCGTTGGCCGTGACTTCTGGACTAAAGTGGTTGATATGCACAATCACCTAGATGGGTTCAGGGAGTTTTCACACAGACGTATCGACATCTACCCGGCAATGTTGAACCGAACGGAGCACGTGTTGGGAGTAAAGGTGGACACAAAGTGCGAGATGAAAGAGTCCTACCCCGAGGCAACATATCAATCGTCTACCGTGTTGTTGTGTAAATTACTTGAAAAGTATTTAGAGTCAGCGCTTTAATCAGATTTAACACAAATTGCTGATAAACATGCAATAATTTGTAATTTAAAATTATTATATTAAAATGTAATTTTTGCATTATTTTATTTTTATTGCATTTATTTGTTCATTTAGTTATGCTCAAACGTACTTGTTAATATTATTACTACAAATGTCAAAACTTGGCGAGAGAGAAAGAAAGAAAGAGAGAGAGAGAGAGA